TGCTGCAAACATCGCCTCTACTCTCCCCAGAGTCGTCACGGACTGCCTTAGCAGTGCTGCAAACATCGGCTCTACTCTCCCCAGAGTCGTCAATGATGCTTTTATGTTATGACCTCAATACCCAAAACAGATGGATACTTACAATGAAATAGTGATCATTTTGAGTTGGATCCCATAAATTTATCAAACGTGCTTTAGATGAATAACTGTATTTGTGTAATCGAAAAGAGAGATGACCTCATGTGTGTCTCATGCCCTTGAGTGTTGCTAGGGATGTTACAGATTCTGCTGCTTTAAAAGAAAGTGAGGACAGATGAATGATGAAACTGGCTTGTAATTTTCGGGAGTCTTCCAGCACTAGACCTGATCGCATGACCTAAATAATGACGCACAACCAATGTTTATAAACGCACAGAAAAGCTTTTCATATATACGTAGTGCCATAAAAAATACATACATTGCAATAAATAGATTAGTCAAAATGTGGATCTAACAGTAAGGTTCCAGCATGAAGAGTGCACCTGGAATTTGTGTTTAGTTATGTATCTGATTCAATGACTGTGTCCTTTAGTCATATTTCCAGAGATGGTTTTTTGCCAATGCTAAAAAAAAGACCAGCACACTAATCCTTTAAGAAGATTAATTCTGGTTTATGCAACGCTGAGCAGGTTTACTGCTGTGTGTCTTCAAATATGCAAAATGCTGCTGTGCTGAATCTGAATGTCATGCTTGTGACATCTGAACTAATCCACAAACATACATTATATTTTGTTTCAGATCCTGAAACTGTTAGTAACAGAAAAGCATCTGGATCTGTCGCATTCTGAATTATTTCATGGTCATCAGCTTAGGATGACTGTGTTGAGACAAGCCCCCCCTGGATGATGACTGTGCTGAGACAAGCCCCCCCTGGATGCAAACCCTCCCTGTTCCCGTTTTTGGGCGACAGACTGTGGCCCTCCACAGCACACACCAGAGGCCTTGTCATGCAGCCTCGGACCAGGAACTCCATTCATTATTTCAGTATCGGGCCGCTGCGCCCAGCTCTCCGTTACCTTGACGGGTTCCAGGGTGGCGGAAAAGGCATCCTGCAGAGCACAGCAGGCCAGCCTCCACATCTCCTCCGTGAAGACCGGGCCGGCCGTCACCAGAACATACCTGTCATGCGGGACACACTGTCAGGCACGGAGCAGAGCATTTCTGGTTCATGTCCAACCTCATTCAGCAAGGCCCCCCATTAGACATCTCCGGTAAATTTTGACCAAACTTACAAAGCAATCCCCCGAACAAAGAAAATTGCATGCTGTTTTTCTGTAAGACTTTTTTGGGGTGCAAAAAACGAAATATATTCTACTGAAAATATGCTTAATGCGCAACAAACAACGGTTTATGACGAATTCTCTTTATGGAAGGTCCGCTTCATTGAGAGAGATGGTTGCCGAGATATCAGCAGGCGACCCAGCTACACGCCTGACCTGATGCAGGAGCAGCCCACTCTGGAGATGGTCTCTGCTGGCTCCGCCACACAGGACACCAGCAAATTGAACAGGTCCTTCAGCATCAGGTTGATCAGGCTCTCATAGCCAATATCTGAAGCAGAGCCAACAGCCGGGTCAGTTCTTCACATAGACCTTCACATAGACCTTCACAAAGACCTGCAGACAGCCTAGCTGAGTATTACAGTGCAGTACCAACAAATCACCAAAATTATGAAGACTGGAGAAGTGGTTAAGGACCTAGACCAGTGTTTCCCAATCCAGTCCTCGGGGAACCACAGACAGTCCATGTTTTTGCTCCTACCGGGAGCTGGGATGGAGCGAAACTGTGCACCGTCTGTGGGGCCCCCAGCACTGGGTTGAGCTCGACTGTTTCTTGCTGATACCCGAGTGGATGAAGCTGTGGATGTGCTCGACGACGAGTTCGCACGACAGGCCAATGGCGTGCTTGAAATGGGCGGCCGCGATGTCCCAGTAGGAGTGGTCGCCAAGGCTACGCTGCAGCCACACAGACATCACAGGGAGGAGGAGCTGGATCACGGAGAATATGGCGAAGCCTGGCCCTAGATGGACGACCAGGGAATCGTCAGCGTCTCTCCATGCGGAGCAGAATCGACAAGATGCACAGCGATCTTTTAGGCAGTGCTTTCCGGAATGTTCTTAAACAGCGGTTTCCTCCCACGGTCCAAAGACATGCAGTAATGCTGACTGGCATCTCTGATTGCCCAATGTCTGATTGTGTTAGTTGGTAATTTAGCCATGAAGAAAAGAACATCATATCATAGCAGATCATTTCCCCCCGCGTGCCCAATCGCATGTCCCACTAGGAGCCCCACCTGGGACCTTGGTGATCTCCCTGAGGAGCTCGAACAGCAGCTCCAGGGTGGGTGGCTGGTGTTGCCGAGGACAGTTGGACACGGCCGCCGTCAGCTGCTCCAGGAGGAGAATCCACACCTGGATCAGGCCTGGGTGAGGTCACAGACAGCCTCAACCAATGGAATCGCTCACCATATTTCTGAGAAAACCTGTTTTCTTTTTCAAGCACCGGCCACTTTTTCAGATGCCCGTTTTTCCCGGCTACCCAGGTGTGGCTCACCCGTGTCGTCATCGCACTCCGCCAGGACGGAGTCCATGCCATCCTCGCTGCTCACCGACCTCTCCTGTGCCCGCATGGGCAGACTGGCTAGCCGAGCACCCAGGAAAACTGGCTTGGATGGCATCTTGTAGATCTTGGCGAGCAGCTGCGGGCACCAGAGTTATAAATTCACCGATGGCCACTGAAGCGCAGCTTCGTCAGCCTTGGTATGATGAGCCTTGGTAATATAGGAACGAGCCAAACTGGCAAACCTGTGAACACCTCCTCAGATAGTCCAGAGCAGGGAGGCACAGATCTGTGGAGCTGTATTCAGTGTTGTGGACACAGTCCCCAATCTCTCTGTAGTCCACTTCTCCTGGGGACAAGTACAACCGGGCTTTACCCAAGTACACCACTAGGCTGGCACCACTAAACATTTCAGGCATTACTGAGAGAGACAGTAATCCTTGTGCTGTCTTCTGCAGCAATCTTAGACATTGATCCAAAATAAAGGGCGGATTGCAGAGATGCAGTGCATTAGGACACAGACAGACAGACAGACAGAAACAGACAGACAGAGACAGACAGACAGACAGATAGACAGAAAGAATCGACATACCTAAACCCTTTACAAATTTCATAAGGCACATGATGTAGTCAGTGGCTGCATTAGCAAACACCTGAATGTTGTCTGTGTTGATGAACGCCTCAAAGACGTCAAACACGGGTGCTTGGGATTTCCCTGCAGGTAAAACGGAAGGCGAGATGTACAGTTCGTAGGAATGGAGCACAGCTATCGAAGTGCAAACCAATCCAGCCTGATAACAAGCATGGAAGTTGAGGTAAATTAACTGTGTGGGCGGAAGGAGCACTTACCCATGGAGTACTCCCCCATCAGGTAGTCCTTCATGTCAGTCTTGCTGCCATGTACAGTCCTCAGAGCACTGAAGAGGGGTCTCCAGCCAGACTGGATCTGAGGAGAGCACATCTCCACCAGCTCGCCTATGGAGGTGATTACCTGTGGGGGAGGCGTGGGGGACAAAGGGAAGACAGCTGAGATGGCTGGTCATCGTCCTGAGTGACCCGCAGCGTGCGGAGCGGCTTCAGATGAGCTGAGGCTCCACCTGGTCCTGCACGTCCTCGTCACACAGCTCCAGCTGCATGATGTGCTCGAAGGGCCGGAACAGCGCCTCGTTGAAGTGGAAGTGAGGCAGCTCCGCCCAGCTGGTCAGCACCTCCGTCAGGACGTCGTGGATGAAGGACACGGCTTTCTGGGACACGTGCCGCTCCTTGTGGCAGGCAGCCTTGGGGTGGGGGGGGGGTTACAGCAGTGAAGTAAGCAGTGAAGGAGTCAAAAAGTGTAGAAGTTTAAGGGTGCTGACTACGGGGATGTGAGCAGCTACTTCCTCAAACCTCCACTAGGTGGGGTGCTACCACGCTCCAGGCCCGCATCATGTGCAGCAGGGGGCGTGTCTTGTTCCTCACGATACGCAACATGGCCTCCCCCAGCCGGAAGAGGTGCAGGGCACTGCACTTATCCTGGGTCGACTTGGCTTCACCTTTAAATGTTTATTTAATCAGAACTTAATTAGAACTTACACTTATATATATTACTCTGTATGCATTATGCGTTATTGCAAACTTTTGAACAGTAGTGTGTATATATATATCACCAGGTCACCGCACTGTTTACTCTGGAGGCCTGGTAGAAAACCCGCCCCGGATTACCTGGCATGGCCAAGGAGTAGTCCCCCGTCTCGGTGACAGAGTCGAAGAGCTGGCACTGGGAGGCTCGGCGCAGCTGGTGCAGAAAGCCCACAAGACCCACCAGGTTCAGCTTGTTGGCCGCGTCCTCGAAGAGCCTGGAGCGGCAGAGTCACTCACAGGTCAGGGGCACTGGCTGAGGATCACGACTCCGGCAGAGTCACTCACAGGTCAGGGGCACTGGCTGAGGATCACGACTCCAGCAGAGTCACTCTCAGCTCAGGGGCACTGGCTGAGGGATCACGACTCCGGCAGAGTCACTCACAGGTCAGGGGCACTGGCTGAGGATCACGACTCCGGCAGAGTCACTCACAGGTCATGCGCACTGGCTGAGGATCACGACTCTGACATCCATCCATCAAAGTGCTGCGTCGATTACGCACTGCACATACTGATGTGCGAGCCCGTCTGCATTTAAAGTTTAAGTTTCAGGTGTACAATTCCTGTTATCTGCGGAGATTAAACTCTCCAGAATGTTTAAGTGTTTGATGGAGACTTTTTGTAATTAGGAAATAATACCCCTTATTTTGCTCCCTCCAAATGACCCCTTTGCTGGGATGATAACTTGGCTGTCATAGTAATTAAAAACAGGAATGTGGATAAGTCAGGTCCCCGGGAGACAAAGAGCCAATGGAAAGCGTTAGAAGTTTAGGGCCGTACAGGCCGACGGCCCCCAATCCCCACAGTGCCGTATAGCTATAGAATGAATGATGTTTGATAATTAACATGTTTTTAAAAGCACCTTCTCTCTGAATAAAAACACTTTTTCTCTTGACAATATGGTGTTCCACCAACAAATGAGCAATGAAGAATCTCCAAACATGCAGTAAAATTCATAATAAACGGTATTTATAATCTTTCAGTTAATTTTACATTTGATATGAGATACTGGTAAATCGGTTATATTGATTATAAATTCCAAGAATCTGTAATATCCGTATCATCTTACTGGCTTTCGGAAATTCCACTTCTCTTGATGGCCGTTCACAAAATCCAGTTTCAGTCGTAAGTGATTCAATTTAGCTATTTAACTAGTTACACCTCTCAACTACTGACTTGTGACTAGTAGCATTGTGTAATAAACCAGCTGTTCCTTTTTCATTATGCCAGTTTGATTTCAAGCAGTTACACCCACTACTATACTGGATAAGATTTTCTGGCACAATGGATGCAGTTCAAGTACCACCAAGCCCATCACAGAAATGAATGATTACATTTTATATTTCAAATCCATCTCGACTAGCTGTAATTCTACCATGAGGAGAATATGTACCTGTTATTCATGTATCAGTGTGATTTGGGTGCCAGAACATTCATGCATCAGCTTTGCAGGTACTTTTCAGGATGCTTTGCCAATTCATAAACTGCTGTTTTAAATTCGACTCCCGACACTGGGAAAGCAGCCGGAGCGCCCCCTACCTGTCAGCCTGGGTGGAGAGGGTGCACACGGCCTTGGTGGCCCCCGTCCCGCTCAGCAGGCTCCCCCCCCGCAGATCGAGGCCCTTGCCCCGCCCACTATCCTTCAGCAGCTCCTGGATGGAGAGGGGCTGGATGACCGGGTGGCCCAGAGGCAGCTCGCGGTCGGGGCTGTGTTCGGCACCGAGCTCCAGGCTGGGGTCAGCGGCCTGCTGGGCCTGCGTGATGGTCAGCGGGGGCTGGCTGCTTCCGTCGCTGAAGTGGCTGTGCTCCAGAGAGCTGACGTACTCGGTCACCCTGGGCAAGCAGAAGGGAGGGCTCACCGACGGTGAAGCACGAGTCACTGCACCTATATGTCATTTCTTTGAATAAGCAAACCCTCTTTTCCTGGTGCGTTTGTCTCACACACTGCATGCAGTTTTTTGATCTATACATATTTATATCATTTCTCTTTGATTTTCCCCAGGAATGAGACAATTCTTTGTTCATCGCAATAAAAATGCGCTCGACTGAGTGAATGTCGAATGGGTGACGACACACTAGGTGGCGCCATCGCGGCTGGAATGTAGCTGGCGGGGGGGGCCGCGTACCTGAAGACGTGTGGCCAGCAGTCCTGGTTGTGGCTGCCCATCTCCAGCCCCACGTTGAGGATGGCGTCCATGCAGAGCACGTGTGCCGTGTGCAGCCGCACCCCTAGGGGGCGCCCCATCTGCTCCAGACGCAGCTCCACCCGCTGCTTTACTGCAGGTTGGGACGTGGCAGAGGAAGGTAAGCCGGGAGAACACGGCGCAGCAGCAACTGCAAAATTTTACGCCTGTCTTAGCCCAGGCAAAGGGCGTTTCTCAATACCAAGAACGCAAAGATCATACTTGAGGTCTAGCTAACTTGCCTCCCAAGAATGAACTTGGGGCGCAATGGATCATGGGATTGGTTTCATTTGGCAAGGATGCATCCTTGATATTGGGGGGGGGGGGGGACAAGAAGGACATCTGGGGATATTTACCATCCTCTTTAGACCTGTTCTTGAGTATTGGAACTGGTCTTCAGCAATGGAAGATGATGTCACGGGAACACAGGTACGGTCAAGTATGCATATTGCGAAACATCTATGGTTTATCTACTGTACCCATTAGGGCCCAGACATGTGACATCATCTACATCTATCCCAGTCCATTCGTGTTTTCCTTGACAGCTCCACAGCGCCACCTAGGGGAGTGCAACGGTGTACCTTGTGCGATGGTGTCCCCAGACTCTGCCGACTCCCTCTCTTCCTTCTCCTCCTGCACACAGGAGGCGGCGGCCATCTGGGCCAGAGCGGAGGCACAGTTGGCTGCCACACCTGGGGAGGGGACATGAGAGCAGAGGTCGTGTGACGTGTGACGGCAGGGAAACAGAAAGTCGCTTTTCGCTCTGAGAACCGAGGCGGCGTCGGCCTCTCGCGCGTCACTCTGCTGCGCGTCCAGGGATCTTAGCCAAACCTGTTGCCAAGGAAACAAACAGCGAGAGCGTGTCGTGCTTCGACCACGTCAGACTGCTGAAATCTTTCAACACGACAGCCCACATCACAAGTGCTGGATGAATAGTGTCTTTGAATAGTGCAGTGGGCAGGATCACCGCCAGTCACTGGGCTGTGTAACAAAGGCGGGGGCCATTTTCAGTTCTGTTAGAGAACCGTAACGATGTGAAATGAACTCAGACTCCATCGCAGGCTAGCCATGTTTCAGTCCAACCTCTTCACACTCTATATTGTTTGTGCATAAAGACAACAGGAATCACACCTCATAAAAATGTGTTGATGATGCAATTCAAATGTAACAATCTGTGATGTGACAGATTGCTTCTAAAAATAACTATTTTAAGAATTGGAGCTCCTCTGTATTCACCATACCAACAGCAAAGCAGTAGGTATATAACACCCATCTGTTGCTATCAGCATATTTTCCATACTGGCTTCAAAGACGTTTTTCTCAGCTCCTGCATGAGACATGAAGTTTGGATTCTGAGAGAAAACGTTTTTTTTTTTAGCAGCTAGAACTCCATGCATCTCCTGCACGGTGCTCTTTACTCATGAGACCCGCTGAAGAATGCAACAAACATTACATCAGAGATTACTGGGCATCTTCCATGGCCGCGTGTAGCACGTCCGCTAAAGCGGTAAAGGACGTCCACCATAAAGCTGAGCAAGGTACCCAAATAATGATCAGCTACGCGTGGCGTAACAGGAGAGCTGCAGCAGACTGCTGGGAAAACATCAGCGGTCAGCTGAAGTGGGGCAGCAAAATGTCACCGGGACGAAAACGCCTGCAGAAGGCTGACTGCCAGTTTGGGGCATACCAACCCACCAAATCATGCAGCATCGTCGTGGCAAACGTGACAACAGCAGTACAAGCTGAGAATCTGACACGGGCAGACCGGTATAAAGTTCCACTCGGCCATCAGCGTGCATATATGATAGAAAACCAAGTGTCGCCATCTGTTGGTAATTGGCAGTACTGTCAGACATCCCGGATGCACTTTGCGATCACGGCGTGTTACCGAGAGCACAGCTGAGTCCGGCTGCCTTGCGAAGCCCGTCCAGGCTCATGCAGATGGCATCCCGCTCCCTCTGGTTCTGCTCCTTCACCCCTTCAGCCCCCAAGATGAACACAAGACCCTTGGAGCTGCCCGCCATGCGGCCGGTGAGCGGTGTGGACAGCGTGTCGATCAGGTTCTTCCAGCAGCCGGTCAGGATGTAGCGTGCAAACACCATGCCTGCGGCGACATGGCAGAGTGAAATGCCGCCCTAATCGCCGAACGGTGCTGCACCAAGCAGGGCGGGGTGATGTGGCTAAACGTTGTATCAAGGTCATTTTTTTCATATCAAACAATGACGATAATTATCATGATATAATTCGATATTTACTTCAATGCTCCATTTTTGCTTAAAATGTCCTTTCAACAGCTTCAGAACATGAAAATGGCAACAAATTGAAAAGACTGCGAACTGAAATCTGCTTTTAATACATAATAAGATGAAAAATGTTCTTGTTATAGGGCATAACACTAGAAAATGCAGACAGTACGCTTCGTTGCTAGGTTGTTTTCTCTGCCGGCCTCACTGTTCGTTCCAGGGAAAGGGTTTGACTAGGGCTGGGTGATATGGCCTAAAATAATATCACAATATTGTCAGAGATTTACAAAATATTGATATTTTATCACAATGTATGTAGGAAACAGAAATATGACAGGTGATTTTTGAGCTTTTCTGATTATGATGACCAAACTGTTTTGCTGATAATTATGGAGCATGTGACAGATGTAACGATAAATTACCAGCAACAGACTTAAACCTTGATGGAATTCATGTACATCTGCATTATTACTGTCAATTGTGCAAGAACACAAGTGTTTAGGTTACATCACTATATTCACGATATTCAAATTGATGATGATATGAATGTTCATAATCACAATATTTTATCGATATATCACCCAGCCCAAGCACCAAGTGGTTTTGTCTTTATCCGTCGGAATAACAGAGTAAGACAATTCAGGCAGTTTCTTGCTTGAGTTCTTAGTGGAGATTCCATCCAGTCAAAGCTGGGTCAAGTGAAACATAAATGAATGTTACATGTCTTTTTTATGCCTGCAATACTTCCAACATCACCGTGTACGACCTCCTCTTGATGGGACAGCCACGCCTTCACTCCACATGCCCTCAAGGTGGCGACAGAGATCAGGATGGTGCTCTGTTGCAAGTCTGCATACCTGCCATGACGGTGTCATTGGTGCTCGTGTCGCAGCTGAAGGGCGACTGCATGGAGGCCTTGCGCATCAGCTGACCCCCAATGGCGCTGCTGCCCAGTCCATCGATGTCTGTAGAGACAGGGTGGGTGATCGCCGACTGCCAGCAGGGGGCGTACCGAACCGCCAAATCACATACAGCATGAAGTGTAGCAAAGCCATATCTAGGGCAGTTGCATTGCTGCACAGAGACTTCATGTAGCTGGATGGTATTAATGAAGCATTTCAGTGAGCGCAAATTCTAGCAAATGGGCTTAAAATTCCACTGTTATAAATACAACCAATATGCATTGCACTATAACATCCGGTATAACATCCAGTGTTTAAATTACAGCTCGACATTCGAGATGTGTGTAATGACCTTCGAACAGATAGGGATTTGCTTGCTCATGTTCAAAACACACAATGTTTTGGTGGACTGGCCCTTTAAGGAGATGCGTCAAAGGCCCTGGCAGACTGGGTGCTGGGACGCGAACCTGTCAGCATGGTGATCAGGGGCAGGGAGTGGTCCTCGGCGGAGCCCCAGTAGCCCGCTTCCCCCAGGAGGTTCCTCTCCAGCACCTGGTGGTACAGCTCCTCGATCCAGGCCTGGGAGAGGACCACCAGAACGCCGCTGCTCTGGATGTGACGCACAAACTCTTTCTGTTGGGGGGGGGTGACAGAAAGAGAGGGAAAGGCCCAGAAGGAGCACAGTAAAGTCAAACGGAGGATCCCATTTGGTCAATAAATGCACTTTTACTGCTTCTATTAAACTAGGGGCAAGATTATGGTTGGACGTGCTTGGTGATATCAAACACATTAGTACTGAAAGTGATTAGAATTTTGCAGAACCAAAACTGTCCAGTGCAGACGAGCACCCATCCATTGGCTTATATTACTTTTTTTCTCCAGGATAAGCCCCAAGGAGGCTTCATTTAGGAGTGACGCCGCAGTGACACCGCAGTGACACCATCCAGTCATTGCAGTAAAACTAAAGGGCCCGATAGGCTAATTCTTGTCTACTGACGACAGGGACAATCAGGCGGTTTTTCTGGACAGTGTGCGGCCTCTGGGCTCTCGCCTGGGGCATTACCAGGCTGATCAGCACTGGCGCCGGCTTCCTGCGGTAATAATCACAGCAGCAAAGCTTCAGGTTGAGCAGCAGAGCATAGTAGGACACCAGGTAGAGGCCGTCGGCGTTCATCAGGGCCTGGCAGCTCAGGTTCTCGCTCCCCTCGAACCCGGGCGAGTGGATGCCACCTGCGTGGACAGAGGGACAGGAAAGTAACCTACGGAACATGACTCTGTCTGCAAAATTAGGAATCCCATTAAAACAAGATCATCTGTCACTGTCTGACTCAATGTGCTGCAACACTCTGCCCGAGGCCGTACCTTCCAGCGTAACTGCAACTTTCTGCGCTTATGGTGATTAACAGTAGGACTAAACTCTCAGGAGAGACAGCCGGAAAACAGCATTGCTTCAATCCGTAGCTGCACATTATAAAGTCCTCTGACGCAAAACCCAAGGTGAGAGAAGGAGGATTAAACTACCTATACCTATATACCTATATAAATCCAGTAAAGTAACGACCGAAAACATTGACTCTTCTAAGTGTGTCCACTGACAGCTCGGAGGTTTGTCTGCTTTTTTCTCGTACTGGTGCAACTGTGCCTTACCCGCCTGCAAGCTGGAGCAGAAAGTGGAGGAGAAATTCTGGAGTGAGACGTCCACATCTGTGGCGTTATGGAGGCCGAGCAGCCGCGGCAGCAAGCTGGCCAGAGACTGGACAAAGAGGCGTGCGCTCTGCTGGTCGGCTTCCTGGTTGCGGAGCAGCTTTAGGGAGAGCGCAGCCGTGCGCAGCGAGCGGTGCCCCGGGCAGTCGCGCGGCGTCTGCTCCTCGTCAGCCAGCGAGCAGTTATCCGAGCCGATGTCAGAGGCGTCGGAGCGGCCGGAGTCCTTCTCGGCCGCCATGGAGTACTGGTCGCAAGAGTCGAACTCTGTGCGCGAGAGGTCCTGCTCGTCTACGCTGAAGTTGCTCTCGCTGTAGCGTGAGCCATGCGACCGTGCCTGCGACTCCACGGATAGGAAGTTGGTGATGTCTGGGTAGACCAGCGTGTGGCTCCGCTGTACCACGTCAGGCTGGCTGCCGGCATCTGCCAAAGCTGGGGGCTCCCTACCACCAGAGGGCGCACCTGCGCCGCTGTCCAGAACACAAGGAGACTGCAGCCGGGGCTCCTCCCCGCACTCCTCCGGGGTCGTCCGGCCAAACTCCCCCTCCAGAGTGGTCTGGCCCGTCTCCGTGGTGACACTGATGCTGATGTCAGGGCTGCGCTCAGTGGCGCTGGGTTCCCAGGGCGCATTCTCAGACGACAGGACGCGTCGCTGCCAGCGGAAGTCCGCCTCATTGACCTCCATGGACTCGCGGGAGGACTCGGTGCCGTCTCGCAGCTCATCCAGTCGCCGCGTCAGCAGCCGAACCTGCTCCGGCTTCAGGCCCCGACCTTGGCTCAGACCATCCAGAGCCCCCAGCAGGGCGCCTACACACGACACTGCGGCGAAGCAGGCCTCAATCCCACCTTTCATGCAGGCCTCCGTCATGCCGTCCATCACCCTGCGGCACAGAGAAACAATCAGTTATCAAGTTATGACCAACCATCACCCCCCCCCACACACAACTGCTTACAGTTTGAGCAGATCCAGGTGAGACTTTCTTTTGGAGAAGGACCTCTTTCTGGACTCTGGCTCGGTGACGCAAGGCCCTGCCAGATCAAACAGACGCTGAGGGCTACCAAGGATCTGCAGAGAGATGGAGATACAAAGATGGAAGGAGCCCAAACACAGCGATTACCCGCTAATCTTCTTTGTTCTGCACTTCAAGGAGAAAAGCACTTTGGTCTTTGGCAGACAGTGGGCAAACGTCTCCTTGAGCTTTATTCTTCTCAGATAATGTACAGATTGTCTGAGCGCTAAGGATCTCCCAGGGCAGCACTGCTGTACCTCTTTCATGATCTTGATGGCTTCCACGCGGTGCTGAGGCGGCGGGTACAGGAGGATGCGGTGGTACAGAGACTGCAGAACAGGCTTCATGGACTCCACACAGCCCACCAAGCGCACCAGCTCCGTGGCCATGTAGCAGACAGTCCTGGCCACGGGACCGATGAGCGCAGGAGCACTGGAGGAGCAGCCTGAGCCCCGGCCTTGGTCTGACACACCCGCAGAGGGGGAGTCCATCTCTTGGAGCCCCCCACCGTGAGCCGACGTGATCGTCTTGTCGTTCATGGGATTCCCCATGATGGCCACCAGTGATGGACACAGCTGTTTCCTGAAAAGAAGCCACAGTGAATGACAGCCATCGATGGAAATGCAGCCGGCCGGCCGGCCACGTCCCGGACAAGGTGACCCAGTGAGCTGAGGGGGAACCAGTGCGGCAGGAACGGTGACTCACCATAAAAGGTCTGTGAAACCACGGTGCAGATGCATGGTGGCGGGGCAGCTGCTCAGCATGGACAGAATGCACTCCAGGTACAGCAGCTGAAGCAGCTGGTTATCACTGTGGGGGGGGGGGGGGGCATACATCAATGGGTCTACAGCAGCCAGAACAGGAAGTACAATCTAACGTGGTCACACGAGAGAACATCATAACATCATATCCTTTAACTGTGAAATGCATTGACCTGCATAGAACTGGCAGCCTTTTGGACATTCAAACCAATGACTTGAACAGGACCCCCCCCCCTCCCCCAGTAGCTTGTAGGTGCGTCTCCCCCAGCCATCCCACCTTGTGACCCGTTCCAGCTTTTTGCAGAAGACAGTGAGCACGGTGACGACGTCCTCGTACAGACTCTCGGTCGTCGGGGAGGCATCTTCAGACAATAAGCGGGAAATCATAAGGAGGTTGGTTACTGAAATCCAACCGCTGACGAGGCCCCAGCACCCCCCGCTTCCCCCCGGGAATCCTGCCTTTGCCTTGGCACAGAACCAGTGAGGTCATGCATCACTCTCCTTCCAGGAACACACCAGCACGTCGGCCATAAAACAGCCATTACTGTCCCTTCCTTTCCCCACTCTGGCCCACCAGGGACCCGGTTGCCGCCTTTTCCGATAAACAGACAATATAAAGTACCTTTGCGCTGCACTGTTGACAACACCCACTCGTCTCCTTCTGCTGTCTGCAGAGAAACAACGAGGGCAGTCACACATCTCCACTGGAATATAGAGCCACACAAAAACCTGGCTGATAATCCATCCAGCCATCAAATCGATTGTTCTGGTCAGGGATGTGGGCTCTAAGTTAACTGTAAAGACTGTTTGTCCACCTTGAGAATGTTTTGATCAAACAACCTCCAGTCGCTATTCATAATAGGGTGTAACTGAAAATCAATAGGAGAGCAGCAATTCTCCAAATCCATGGTTCAGTTTTCTTTTTTTTGGGGGGTGGGGGGGGCAGGTGAACAATGAAAAGTGGGGAAAAAAATTCTAGATTTTATTAATCACCAACAATTTGTAACAATAAAGGGGGTTAATATCCCTCTTGAGCTAGCCTAGATTTTATTGCAGCTGTGATCGATGCCTCGATTATGATTGGACCAAAATAGTCACATGACACTCACAGTTGGAGGACAACATAATGTGTAATATTTACAAAATGTATAGCATATCAATTTGTGATATACATGTGTTATAGTGTTAAATAAAAACTGAGCTCAACAGGCTACTCCTAGGGTTGGGTATAGGGTTGGAACTGCAATACGAGATTTTGAACATTGCGGTTTTGGTCTTGGTTTCAGACGCATCACTCTCTTAGATATCAAAGTAGTCAAACGTGATGGGCAGCCAGCCCTCAGCCCCCACAACCCCCCCCCATCCCCAGCCACTGACCGTGTTCTCCTGCCGATGACGCAGCTGCAGGGTGAGATCGCCCAGCATCTGGCTGAGTGTTGCGCGTATGGCTGTGTTGATGCTGCGCTGGTGGAAGCTGGACATGTAGGTCTCAATGCACACCTGGGGGCAGAAAGCCGGGGGAGGGGGGCACTCAGAGCCGTGCTTAGGAGGAAATCAATCGCAGAGCCTTCAGCGTGGATCCTCACACATCATGTGATTTGTTAATTCCTATCCATTCCCACAGCTTAAGCGGTACAACCGGAAATTAATTATCAGGACCATTAATACAATTCATTAACATCTGGTACATCTTAAAAAGGCCTCTTGCCAGATAGGATCACAGTCGCTCATTAACATCCAGAAGTCCCCAAGGATCGATGACAAAATGCCGCCGGACAGCGCGCGCCTGCTCCTTGGCCGCCCCGTGAAGCCGCCCCGTGAAGCCGCCGGGGAACACGTGCTGAGATCTGCTCTGAGCACGCTCACCGGCGTTCAGTCAGCTAAGGACACGGAAGCGCTTTGCGTTTCGTCGGCTACATCTAACCTCCTTCCTAAAATAACACTCCCATCTCTATTGCTAATTTAAAGCTGGCGATGGGAGCGACACACAGCCCTCATTACTCAAGCAGCACCATCCTAATTACACAGTAAATCACACGGCAGGCTGGGTCCCGCCATAAGCGCCACTGCTCTGCTCTCTGATAGGCCTCTTTGCTGGTAAATTCAGGTTAAGTGCAGATTTTCATATACAGTACATATTACTTTTTTTTATTCATTCATTTTATCGGACCCTTTTTATTTCAAAACGATGTACATTTTTGAGAGAGGAGGGTCCAGCAGGCCCTGGAGCAGCTGGGGCTCAGGGGCTCAAAAGTCACTCTGCTGGGCAAATCCCAAGCGTGTGTGTGTGTGTGTGTGTGCGTAATGTATATTCAGCTAATTTTTAATTTATATAACCCCTTTCACAACACGGTTCTCCCAAAGCAGTTAACAAGAATAGTAATACATTACTAATTTATCAATCCATCCATTTTTTATAACCGCTTGTCCCACTCCGGGTCGAGGGGGGTCCGGAGCCTATCCCGGAGACTGCGGGCGGAAGCCAGGGAACAGCCCAGGATGGGATTATTAATTCATGGATACTAAATTGTTATTTTAGTATTTTTGTTGTAGGGTGATTAATGTTTCCATTTTTCTGGCTGTTCTTATCAGTTTCATTATGCTCCTTTATTGTGGCAGGCCGCAGCTGTTCTGCTGAGGCAGGCCTGCTCTGCTGGCCTCATCCATTACTCTTTATCTGGAGAAATACAAATGGATTCCATAAACAGCTGTTATTTTCTTCCATTCAACAGAACAACAGCACAGCATAGTGCAGCGTAGTCGGGGGCATCGACGCCAACGGTGAGTCAGAGAGTCTGGAGCGAGTAAAGCATTCACACCCTGTGACACCACCTAGCGTTAGGACGCGCCACGGCTGAGCGCCCGTTAGCATCGCAGCTAATCGACGCTCGTCTTCCCAGGACGGCCAGCGTCTGCAGTCACGCTCTGCCCCCGAATCAGACCGATGACGGCTATGTAGTGATTTTCCACTCCGCCACATTAAGCGTCTCGTCCGCCCATCTGTGACGTGGGCAATACATTAATTCTGACATGCTGTCGGCAGCTGTGATTGGGGGTTTCCATGGATACGGGGGCCAGGGAGACGGGAGGATGGAAAGCGGGGCCCTCGACAAGCTGAAGGTGAGGGGCTGCAAGTCTGTTTTTAACAGGAGGATAGGCCTTTTCAGGACACGTCAATCGACATACACATACAAACATTAATAATGTTAGCATTTAATATACCACCAAAAACTGTTGACATCATCATAGCACAGAAATACTACTTAAAATCAGAAGTCATTACTGATTCTGATATAATGGCATAACTGACCAGTTAATTGTTACGACTGTTTCGTCTCTTATTTCCACAGAGCACAAAAAGTACACAGAATGAATACTGAATCCCATAAAGCAATCTCGCTTTACAAATTTATGCCTGGAAGCATTAAAACCCGTGTTATTTACGAGACAATGACAGGTCTGCGCTATCCAGCATGATGTGTGGCTCATTTTTTCGGCAGTGGGGTGTTCCCGGGGGGGCCAGTCCATTAAGCCAGTAAAATGATTTTATGAGTTAATCAGCGACCAGGATTTCATGGGCACAGGTACTCACAGAGGAAAACAAGTCACCTCTGAGTGATCATTCCTAAAAATGAGCTCTGGAAGACACAACCTACCTCTGCAATCCTCAGGATGGCGTCTCCATTGATCTCGAAGGTGGACGAGTACGTGATGCAGAGCAGGACCTACAGGGAGAAGGCATGCAGCTCAGCAGATTGCACATGGCTGTACTGTCGTCAGCTCCTACATCGTGCTGAAATGGCTTCTCTTTGGCTTTGCTATTCACGTTACCTCCTGCGGGATCTAAATCTGACCCCAACTGCGACCTTAATCCGCACGACCTCCTGATGTTTTTCGGAATCTTTTCCGCATATAAAATCATGTGAATTTTGACTCTAAATTTGTCTTAGGTTGTGCCTTTGTGACGGAACTGAGGGCAGCCCAGAAGACATTCTGCCTTTGCTTATTGGGAATGTTCCAAGATCAATGCTAACTGCAGGCCATATTGGATAATCCAATCATCCATCCATCCATTGTCTGTAACCGTCTGCCCTATTCAGGGTCGCGGGGGGGCTAGAGCCTATCCTGGAGGCTACGGACGGAAGGGAACAACCCAGGATGGGGCGCCAACCCAACGCAGATAATCCCATTAGTTGTAGCAAATGTGTTATAACAGAGGTACAGTTACGTTCTTTTCAGCGCTTGACGCCATAACCAGCCGCGATGCCAAGGCGGACACAGGTAGCTGGTGCCCCACCCTGGAGGTGGGTGTGGCCAGCTGGCAGCAGCACTGGCTCTATGCCCAGCAATCTGGGGGAAAAACGGAGCGTGCCACAGCACAGAGACTCCACCAGGCGGGCAAAGGCGTCCAAATGCCTGTGCTGATACACTCTCACTGGCCAGGAAAGGCCTGTGCTCCCCACTGCTGAATAATCACATGGAAGCATCCAGTCCTTTACAAACCATAAAAAAGACTAATACTGTTAAATCCACGGGTAGGACAGTTGTGAGCATTTCCTTACAGATACCACACTGTCCGTAGCCCTGGGAGTCCGTGTGTTTTGCGTGTTGTACTTCATTTTAACACATATGCCAAGATTATTACTTTAAACTGATTACCAAGAACAAAACGCAGCCCAAACACCAACGATGGGAGCGAAAATGTGGCCTGTCTGACAGGGGGCTGGGAGGGAGCAAAAACGTGGACTGTCTTTGGGTCACCGAGGACCGGGTTGGGAAGCAGTGCCTTACAGATACAGGGGAAGAGCGATGGAAGCAAGGTCTGAACTGGACATATTAGCAATCACTGTCTTCCGGACTCTCACCTTCATCACCTCCACCTGCAGGTCTTCATGGAGAGTGGGCGTCACCCGCACAGCATCCAGAATTTGGCTCAACAGCTGCTTCTCCGGCGGCTCGGGATCGACTGCGATAAAGCGATCTTCACAGAGTATCTTCTGCACCATCAAGACAGAGAAAAAATCACTAAAGACAGGCAGCACTGCAAAGACCGAGCCAAGGCAGGAGGACGACGTGTGGACCAGCGAAAATAGGCTTTTTTTTCTTGGTGCCCACAAGTTTGTCAAGCCAAAGTCACTGGGCTACCTGGTAACTGTTAATCATGCAGAAACCAACAGTGGGCAAGGAGAAGTAGCATGGAAGTATGGTGGCTTTTTCCCCAAGACGGAGGCAGCACCTGCATCCCGGCGAGGGCCGTCTGCGCCAGCCTGCTGTTCTTAGACTCCAAGGCGAGTCGGAGAGGGAGCAGGCATCTCTCCCTGTGGAAAAGCAGCATGTAAAAGCCGGCAGGGGCCCCTCTACGGCACTGGATTAAAAAGTGTAGGATCTGATTCTCACCATTCTGCCCAGTTTGATTTACAGAAAAATCAAAGCAAACAGCAGCAGTTGGACCAGTTAGTCCTCATGTTGGATATTTACAACCAAACGGTAATGCAAAGATCAAAGGAAGTTCATTTGTCCTTCTTCTAACTGAGCCAAATGAAAATGCTTGATAGGAACACAGAGGAACATAAGATTTTAACTACAACCACTGAAACAAATGTTATGTGTATTTACCAGGTGGAAACATACCATTAATTCTCCATAAGACAGCAATGGCCTGATATTCTCCAGTATAGTAAGGAGTCTGTTCTGTTGACTAAAGGAGGAGTGTTTTGCGTAAGTTTTTCACAAACCCTGCTGAGCAAGAAATCTTTTACCAGTGAGACACTTTCTTTCTCTTATACCACCAGCTACTTTTGCCCTTCATTTCCTCTCCCTCTCAAGCGCGGGCACCGTCTTTTCTGTGTCACTCCGTCTTGTTTACCGTCTTTGTGAGTATTCTCCATTCTCCATGTTCGTTTCTACAGCCAGGTAGGTATGGTAACAGCCTGCAGCCTTGGAGACTCAATGTCTTTGTATGCTGAACGGGTAAAACGAGAAGAGAACCATCGACGCCAAAAAGCACCCCCAGAAGCGGTTCTAGGCACCCCCAGAAGCGGTTCTAGGGAAACGTCCACAGAAAGCTGGACTAAACGATGCGGTGTCTTCCTGACCATTGACGGAGAGCCCAAGGTAGGTCATACATGAACCAAGCAGGACCTCCGTAATGAAAAAGCAGCAGCTTTTCATGGGCTACCTTGGTAGGTAGAATTAGCCATCAACACTGACTAAACCCCAGAAGGAGATACAGGAATGACAGGACAGGAACAAGCCATGCATGCAAATCGAGGTGCAGAGCAAATAGCCATTTATTCCTGATGGCAGCACCTACTATCGCCCCCTCCGATATCACCCCCCCCCCCCCCTCATTTAACATGAACCACCATGTACTGTAACAGCACCCTCTAACCAAAACAGAACATTCTCTCTGTTTATTACTATTAATGAACATATCCCACACATCTATTGTTCTAGCTGCTAAAAATATGAACACATTATATACCCTGAAATTAACAAAATACATTGAAAATAAAATACATTGAAAACATAATGGAAAACTCCCTCAAACCAGCCTTTATTACACAACACAGAGCCTGAAATGGAACAATGTGTCCACTGTAAGAGCTCGCCCTTTACAGCACTGCAAGTCCCTACCCCAGCAAACCAGACTGCAGAGTGTGTGGGCAGATACGCCTCGGGGGGGGGGGGGGGGGGGG